GTGTGGGCCTGCGATACAGGCAAGGATCAGGCTTTGCAGATTGGCACTACTGTACACGACATCCTTATCAGCACCAGCGATAAGCAGATTAAAGATGAGGTAGCAAAAAAATATCATTAATTAATTATTTAATTAATAATAATTTAACTTACCCATTTTTATGAACATATTCTGCGGTTTTTTATACATTGCATATTTTTATACATCGAATCGATTATACAATTGTATTTCTAATCCTATATTTAATTATTTTAATACTTTACAGTTGCAGCTGTTCTCCTTGCAAATATTGCATCGCGAAAATTCATTCACCGCGAAGGGTCTCACTGTTGATGCAACACTTCTTACTGCGGTAAGCAATCAATCATTTGCCTTAATTATGTACATGTATATTATTGACTTTGTAATTTTGCTTATAGATAGTGGGTAGTATCACCACATACCTGCTAATTTTAATACAGTTCTTGGTCACGTCGCAAACTTGTATAGCTAAAAAGCAGTAGACAGTCTAATTATATATATATATATATATATACACATATGTATCTATATATATAAATTACACTATTAAATAAAAAACACGTTTTTAAATATTATTAAATATAAAATACTTTTAAATATATATAATACTTTTGAATATATAAAATACTTTTTTTATCTATCACGAATAGAATATCGCTCAATATTTTATATCTGTTATTTAAATATGTATGTAAACAAAGATATTTGAAAATGTTTTCATAATGAATAACTCTAAATTATATACAATTACAAATTTTTAATAAGTTTTATTTACTTAAATGTAACGTGTGAGACAAAATAAAAATATTTAAAAAATATTGTTTTGGATTCATTAAATATATCATTAATATGTAAAAACATATAATAATATGGCTCAATAAATTTAAAAAATGCAATAAAGAAAAAGGGGCTACGAGCCAAAAATCAATCGTTATAATTTAAAAGTGGAAAATAAACAATTATATTATTACGTTAAAAATATTATCAACTTTAATAGAAAGCCTATCGTTTAATAGAAAACGATATCACCTCTTAAACACTGACAAGAAATAATATCGGTTTTTCATTCTCGTCGCATTGTCTCCAATATTTCTGACTAAGAATTCGATAACATAACTTAAAAAAACATGCATTGACAATCTTTTCGGACAATCTTTTCAACTGCTAGCAAGATACAAATACCGATACCAGCTTTTAATAATCAAGCGTCGACTATGTTCACGTTAGCGTTTCAAACAATTAAAGAGAGCGAAGTATTTTTATAATTTGTATATAATTTTTCTTTATTCTACTCGATCCTTCATATAATTTTTCATTATATTTGTTTTACCATACTGATTAATTTATGTAAACATTGATAATGATCCGATCGCGATCGAAACGTTTGTTTTTCTATGTAATATGTAAATTAAGAGCCCTTAACTACTTTTGCATTAAAATTAAAACGATCTGATGCTTATATTAGTACTACGATACAATTTGAAATTCATTTCTGAATCGTGCAAATATATAATTTTAAATTATATTTCTGACGATCATATCGTCGTTCTGTAATAATCAGCGGTAGTTTAGTAATACAGAGATATGAATAAAAGAGTAATTAAATTTTCGTTTCATTGGCGCCACATGGACGGCGATATCAGCACGGAAATTCAGCGATAAATGCAATCTTCGAGGTCTACAATTACATCTCAACACTACGTGCTAGAGGAGAACAGATTGCACTACGAATTGCAATGCACGCATATAATTTTCAGACATTTTCCTCGCGGAATTCTTGTTCTTATCATCAGCGAGTGACCCACGGAAGTGACTTTTGACCCTGTCTGTGACTTCGTCATTGCTAAATCGTAAATTCGTAATTTTGCTTGTCCTTGAATTTTTTATAATGTAAATGTGTATTTCTCAGTTTAAAGCTTAAATAAAGATTTATCGCTTCGTCGATTCGACGTTCGTTATCTGGTATTTGTAAAAAAAAAAAACGAAGATATCACCTTCAATATCTTTGTCAACGACGGCAGATTGAAGAAGACGATGTTAAAACGAACTCACGAAAACACGTGTAGAGCAAAAAAATAATTTATCGTTGGTTATTATAAGTACAATAATAAGTAATACGTCATGTCTGTTGCGGTTTCTACTAATAGCGATTTACCGGTAACAGTAGTGGCAGCAGCAACGACGTCCTCGAAACTGAGTTTTCATTCAATGCGGAGACATGTGGGGTGTAGCCGGATCGTGATCTATTGTCGTCAAGGTTAACGTTCTACTGCGCGATAATATCCATACATAGTCGCAAAGGTTAATTTAGACTAAAAGGCTAAATGCGTTAATGATTTCAATCGGACTTTAATGCCGCGACGAGCCTCGGGTCACGACAAGCAGACGACATATTATTTATCACACACGCAAGAGTCGCGCAAATACCTACTTGGGAAAAATTTATTTTCCTGCGAATCGTCCTTGCGATATACCCTTTACTTCTTATCCCCGTACTTTCTTTTTATTTCGTCTGTAATTCAAAAAGCAACGAAATTGAATATCGACAAAGATAAACGGCATAAATTATTTCGGCACCGCGTGACACGTGTCATTTGTCTCGCACTGGACGTTCGTCCAGACGAATATATTTCAGTGCGAACTGAATAAGACTGCAATTATGCAACGACAGGCAGTCGATGCAAATAAACATTGTCTCCAGAGAAAAACGATGCGTGTAAAAACTGAAATGTCAACTAGATAGAATGGCTAATAGCAAAATGCAAAAAGTTTTCGTTAATGCCGCGTTATATAATGCAATGATAAATAAACGAAACGTCTTTCTTCCGATGTTAATATAACTAGTTTTATTATAATTTTATATTCAATTACTTACTGTGTGTCATGTGTGTACAATCTTGATAAGAAACGTAAATTAATAAAGTGGAACAGCGCTGCTTAACAGTGCTATTTATATTGTATAAAATGTCCTAAACATTTGCGTCACCTTTAACATTGAAAAAGAGGTGAACTTGCGATAAACGATGGCCTCTCGCGACATCCTTGCTAAAGAAAGATCGAGAATCCAATTTCATCAAAAGAATCTATCAACGCTGTTAAATTCATTATGTCGAATTCTACCCAAGTTTAAGTGATTTTTAATCATTTCCATAAGTCGTCACTACTCTTACTCAATATATGGTTAATTTAATTAAAAAAATGGAATTAAACAATTTAAATGAAAAAATTTATTAAATTTTATTCAAATTCAGTTTCAAGTACAGTGTCAAGTTGACACTATATAGTGTCAAATTGACACGATATAGTGTCATGTACAACTATCCTTTTGATAAAAAAAATAACGATATATTTAGTAGAAGCAGTGGCGACTCACGTTACGTTAAATTTGACACTATAGATTTAACAGTGTTTATTTTGAAACTGGAGTGCACACGTTTTAATAATGGACGTGATTTACTTTGAAACGACAGAAATAAATGCATTTATTATATTAATATTTTGACGCATATGGAAGTTAAACATAACAAAATATTATTTAATTCTGGAATTGGGTTACTATTGCTCTTTTGATATCTAACAGATATTAATTTAAATAGGTCATTTTTTATAGTAAAATTAGTGTACACTTTTTACATTTAAAGTGAAACAGGCATTATGTCTGAAATTTGGTGAAAGCAAAAAGGAAAGTTCTAGTGTAGTCTAATGCAACAACAAAAAACAAATCTAAAGTCTATATCAGATTAGAGATTAATATTGAGATTGGATTGGATTGGAATTTGATCAATCAGAAGAAAGAAAATCAATATCAAGATTAATGAACTTTGCTTTGAGTGATCAAATTCCAATTTAATCTTAATTGTTGTCTCTCTACGTTGTTAAATTCATAATGTTAAATTAAATTATATTACATTCAATTTAAGAAGATTTTTAATTTAATCCTTTCTATAGAGGTTGCCACTGCTCCAATATGTAGTTGACTTAACCAAAAGTATGTAATTAAACAATTTAACTCAAAATATATTAAATTTGACTCAATTAATTTAGTTTATTATTTATTAAATACACATCAAAATATGGATATTGTTTACTTTGAAACTAATCACATATTTACACTTAATTGATTGATTTACACTTTAACATACAAAATTAAAAATAACAAAATGTTATTTAACAAGGGCTTGAGTTACCATTGCTCATTTGACATCTGACAGTCTGATACGGGATTAACCTTAACTGGGGTCGTAGATCCATTAGACCCACATCGATTTTACTTAGTAGAAAGTTTACTAACTGTACTTGTAAATAAGGATCAAAGCGAGACTGATTAATATATATATATTCCTATTATTAATTTTGATTAAAAAGAGATAAATGAAGGTCCAAACATTAAAAAGATACAATAAAAATGTTCTCAAAATTAATGAGTTTCATTTTGTTAGCCTTTGAAAGATGAGAATCCAATGGATCCACGACGTTAGAAATGTAACATTTTTTCACGATACTAGTTAAGGGTTAATGAAAGACTTGTTCGATCTGGGATACACTTCGTGCATCCGCATAAATAAAATGATTCTACGTGAAACTATGATAACACGTGTTGCGCGGCAGCGCACATGGTAGGCATCTAGCGCGAGGAAGCTGCGTTTACGCGAACATACAGCACGGTAACTGCATCCGCATTGATCGCTCGTGCACTACGTGAAACGAGATCTCACGCATCAGCGTGTGTATGTATAAGTATCTGGCGCGATTCTTTCAGACAGTCCGGAATTCCGTTCTTTTGTCTAATTCTGGTGACGGGGCTGTGGGGAAAGAGGAGAGAGCGAGAGAGAGAACGAGAGAGAGAGAGAGAGAGAGAGAGAAGAATGGTGAAGTATCACGGTGCGGCGCGCGTGTAGGCGACACGCGATTTCGCGATCACGTCTCATCGCGCGCCGCGGCGCCTCTGACCAATACGCAATTGTCAGTGCCGCGCCGACTGCCGCGCCGAGTGAATGTAAGGAGTGTCGCTCTTGCGCATACATATCCGTCGCTCGCAAAATCGGAACCGCTGAGAACAGCAGCCGCAGCAGATTCTTCTCTCAACTGAGAGACACGTAGTGTTCTCTGACGCGAGTGATGGAAAGTCAAGGGTGCTCCGAAAACGGAGACGTCTGACGAAATAAAATAAAATAAAATAAAATAAAATAAAAAGGGAGCGTCAAGTATTGACAAAATTGACAGTTCACGCACGCGGACGAATGTGCGATCTCTTATGATAGTTAGTGAACTATTAATTCGAGAAATTGTGAACGTATCGAACTTGTACGCGATTAGATAGAGTGGCATAAAGGCGGCGAGTTCGTCGCGTCGAATTCAGTGGATGAAAGTTTGCGGGCGAGCACCGAGCGATCTGGTGGTAGTAATCTATGCGAAAACGTGGCCTTGCCCGCAGATCTCCGATGCCGCTGCCACCGTGTCTACGAGTTTCCTTGGTACTCGCGATAGCGAGCACGGCGACGAGATCAGGGATATAAACAAAAGCAGACGCGTAATCAGCGTGTGCGATCGGCGCAAGTGGGATGCAGAGATTTTAATTCCCGCGTGAGAGAGCCGCCGTCGATCTACGCCGCGGCTGTGCTTAGAGAGGTGCAAGGGCGCCTCTCGAGACCGATTCCCGTTCGTGGAAGTAAGTTTACCAGCATAGCTTCCATATATTTCGCCTCATATGAGATTAATGAGACGCGACGCTTCCCGCAGCATACGCTGCAACCCGAGAAAATCCTAATTATGCTTAATTTTTCGCATCCAAGTTGATATTACAATATTCGAGAAACTGGGCTATCGTCCGATATTTCCCTTACACGTTACATGTAACCACATGCGCACAAAAAAATTTTCAATTGCTTTTTACGCAGCACTAACGGTAATTAGAACTTATCATCGTAATAAATGGTTAATTATTGAACGGAAATTTTCGGTCATCGCGAACGTTATATCTCTTTATCTAAAAGTTCCGGTAAATTATCTATTTGTTAAGCTGATAACGTTTAAAGACGTTATTATTATCTTCTCTGTTAATATATTATTAAATAAATTTTCGCCGCTTATCTTAAACTTTGCGAAATTTTACGGAAAAACACTACTGTTCGTAAATGAATATTCTAAGATCGCTCTGTTGCATTTAAAAATCGCTACGGACAATGAAACGAAAGATTGAGTTCGTGCTATATTTACATCGGCGCGACTCTTGTATCACCAATCCTAATCGAGACGACGTGCCAAGAAATGTGGGTAAAGCATTTGGCGCACTTTGCGGAATTGTTGGGGCACTGTCTCCCGTCATAAATAAGAGTGCGTGACTCGTATGAAGTCATGACGATCATCTGCTAATATATAAGAAGTTTTAAGTCTCGTTTTCGACGAAAATTCACCATCACGGGACTTTTACACAAATCACAATTCTACACTGAAAAAAAGATTGGCTGGTGCAGCAAATTAGATGGTAAAATATGGCATAGTATTTTTAATTGGCTGCAGCAGCCAATTTTTGGTTGCTTTAGCCTATCTGCAATGT